ATCTTCGCCTAGATTACACGGACGCCCGACTGGTAGACGTAATTCACACCGATGGAAAGAGCATATTTTTCTTAGGTAAACGCGCAATAGACACTACCGAATAGATTTCTTATCGAGTTCGTCCGTACATATAACGATGAAAAATTAGGAGGTTCTATTGATCAGAACGATTCGAAAGATAACAATCTATTAGAACTACGGAAAGATCAGTGTTAATTTTTCAATTAACTACAAACACTATGAAACACCTGTAACTTGGTGAACAAGAATTCAGAAAATTAAGTTCATCAATTTAGAAAAACTTATCAGCTCAGGATTGTGGTAATTCAAAAACTCCTTAAAATAAAAAGAGAAATATCTCAATGTATAAAAGCAAAAATAATTTTACTACACTATTAAGAAAAATATTTTGATTATACCAACAAGACGATGGTAGAATCTATTTTGATAAGACCAAATAAAATTTTTGTTATAAATGGGCTCGATATTTTATAGCTAGAATATTTGATAGATTTCAATATGAAGATTTGATTACCTACTATTTTTAGTTGAATCTATAAGTCCGTTGCTTGTACTTTTTGCATTCACAGCTTCGCTTTCCCTCTCTTCAATGCCTAAATATATATTTATCTCCTCTTAAGTGCAAAAATTTTTGGAAATTTCAAACAACGCGAACAGATTTTTTAAAATTGTTAATGTATTCACTAGATGTTCTTTTTTATTAAAAAGTTACACTGATCGAACTAAATAACTTTAATATTATTATCAAGAAATTCTACTGTTTAACAGGAAGGATTTAATCATGCTTATCTCGTAATTGATAGAAGAATTTTAATTCGTTTATTTTCCAAGACATACTAGTTGAATCTACTCAATTTTCAATTAATACGACCATATTTTTTTCTATCTAGAATAGATTTATTTGATAAAATCCTTATTTATTAAACACACACATGTATGTAACAATATTCATCAGTCATCGTTTTCGATAAATTCTCTGATAAATGAAGCTCCGTCGCGTTCTCACCGTGAAATCACATTCTCTAAACTAACGTAGTACATGGCAAGGCCTTCCAGGATATGGGATGAGCCAGCCTTGCGGGCACCTGGACTTCTATCCGAACAACGGCAAGGAACAGCCCGGCTGCACGGATCTGAGCGAGACTACGCCATCGCTGCCGCTTACCTTAATACGAGAGGGCCTCGAGGAGGCTTCGCGCGTCCTGGTTGCCTGCAACCACGTGCGCGCACTCAAGCTCTTCATCGAGAGCATCAACTCCAAGTGTCAGTACGTGGCGCACGAGTGCTCGAGCTACGCGAGCTTCTCGCGAGGCGAGTGCTTCTCCTGCAAGAGCAACAACAGCCTGAGCTGCGGCGTGATGGGTTACCACGCAGACACCAGTCCTGCGCTGGTAAAACGCCAAGCCATGGGACAGGATGTCTCGTCCTTACTGGGCTCCAAATTCTTCTTCATGACGGGCAAGGATGATCCGTATTGCAGTGAGTATATCTGTTGAAAGCGGCTGAGCAGATTCTTAATCTTCCGGAGGTGACGGTAGATTTATTGGACCCACTCAATTATAAATCTCTTGGTCAAAAATGTTAAACAATTCAATTTTCTTTATGTTACGTCTGCAAATTTGGATTATTCTTATTGAAATATACTTAGGCTGGTATTCATAATCGATTCTTATATTTAGGACCGTCTTAAGTACAGACTTAAGATATTACAAATCAAGGAACTGTATTAGTATCTTAAGACATTACTTAAGACGATCTTAAAATAAAAACTGATGACTATGAATTACCGGCCTTACATTCATTCTTTTTTATACGAGTTATGTCATTTTATTCAAGAAGAACACAAGTCATCATGACATCAAAATGACTCCAAAATGATGACTAGAAGTCACTTTTCAATCATTACTATTTTAATGATATATTAAACGTTATTATAATTTGATGTTCCGCTTAAGTGGTCACTTGAAATTAATTAGAGAGTCTTTTAATTAAATGGGTCTTACAAAACGTCAATAACTGTGTTATACTCGTAGAATTTGCCGTTAGCTCCGGAGGATTGAACGGCGTTAACGAAAATAAATTCAGCTTCAAACGCTATTTCTTGCTATCTAGTACAGATATGTATAATCCAGGTTGGCTAAATAATCTTCGATATTAAGACTACTAATGCTGATGAATCTTGACGTTATAAAATTAAAAACGATAACTATTAACTTTCCCAACTTAATGACAACTGCAGCTTAAGAGTATCAGTCCAGCTTTCCATTACAATAAAATTCCATTACAATATTCTCTCATGCTTTTAGATAGGTGATCATTTTGATTGTAGGTATATCATAAAAGTGTCGTGCACAAGAAATATCGCAACCGCAATTAAAAATCTTGCCCGCCAGATACGAACGTTAATTTCGATCGAAATTTATTCAGTCTGTCTGTATAGACGTCTGTTAACTTCTCGCTATCGATGCGAAGAGAAGAATATCTACTGAGCAATGCGGCTTTTCTCTATCGCGAAAGACGCGACTTTCTCCGCGATAAAAGCAGTAGACGGAGCTCCCCCTCTCTCTCTTTCTCTTTCTCTCTTCTCTCCCCCTCGATCTCTCTCGAGATACTCTCTGATACCGATCATAATCACCTTTTAGGAAGACATTACAGAATTACCATCAACCTCGCCCGACCGCCGACCGCGGAGAGCTGGGTGCAGGGCTTCATGAAAGTCACTCTCCACGCCGACAAAGGCATGATACGCAACATGGATCTCACGCCCAGGTAAGTAATCATGCTGGCGAACGTTATCGTTTCGACAACCCACATTCGTCTATGTCGCTCTTGGTCATGCGACGGCGAAGATTAACAATATAAATTAACCGCGACCCTGGTGAAAAAAATTCTCATTGGTCCGCATATTCATATTTCACTTGTATTGATAAATGTGTGTATTTAGCATATAATTTACGTTATACGTATACTATATAGAATCTCAGAAATAATAAGGGCTACAGATATATAATATTTTTAAAAATTTATCATGTTTTAAATTTATGAAGGTTTCTGAAAAATATCTTAAACTTTTTCAGATTTTATAAGTTCTCTTCGGAAACGATAGACTGAGAAATTTTAAAATATTTCAGAATTTATGTATATAACAAATTCTAGAAAAGATGTAGACTACCAGCAAACAAACTACACGGAGAAAATTACCTTTTAAAATTCATCCTGAAAATATGGTAGTTGTAGTGAAATACAATATTTTAAAGATTTTTACTATGCACTTCAGTAAAATTAATCAAACTTATTTTATATTTTATTGTAATTTTATCAATAAATGAGAGAAATTTACATAAAAAATTCTTCGAAATACAGTGTTGTCCCAAAACTGTCATATTTTTAGGGTAAACTCTAAGAAAAAATTCTCTCCGTGTAACGTTATTTGTCGTCATTTTGACGAAACGCTGAGAAAGTCCAGCAAACAAGCTAACGTTATTTGACGTCATTTTGACGAAATATTGAGAAAGTTCAGCAAACAAACTGACGTTACTTTGCGTCATTTTGACTTATACTTATTTGCTGGCCTTTCTCAGCATTTTTGAAAAGTGTTCCAATCGTATAAAAAGTTTGTGAAACTTTCTAAAAAGTTACAAAATTATACAAGAATTCTGACAAATTCAGAAATTCATGAAAATCCTGAAAAATTATATAAAGAATTTCAAGAAAAATTTTCGCCAGGGCAACTATATATTTAATTTCATGCTTCGCACAACCGATGCTGCGTGATCGTAAACAACGAGCCACATAAAAACATCGAAGAATATATATTCTCGCGCATGTTCCGAGCGAAACCATCGATCGCGAGAGACCGGCGTGTGTCCGTAAATTATTTTACGACCTGACTCAATCTCGCGCTCGATAGCCTCTATCCAGTTCTTTTCTACCTGCCACTATTTTTTAACGGGCTATCCCTCCCCCGCAGCGGTTACATGAAACTGGAGCACGGATCGACCGCGCGAATGGTCGTTGCTCATCCGACCGGTTCCATCGGCAACATCGGTAAGATCCGACGGGTTGAGCTCTCCTGGGTTTACGACATGGACGTGCTGCAGCCCAGGTCCCTGTGCTTCTTCTGGTGTAATGATCGTCTGTACGTTAACAGCGTCAAAGTGGATGCTATGGATCTTCCGGGCAGAGGGTGAGAAACTAGAGCGTGACAACTGCTACTTTTAGCAGAAAAAGTAGTTTTGCAACTGTTGTAAGATAATATGATTAGTTTATACTAAATCCAGTAAAAAAACTGAAAGCAAAAATCATATTAAAGAGTCTTCCCAAATAGTATAAAACATTCTCATAAAATACAAATGTTTTTCGTAATATTTGAATGAAATGTTCTATAAATATACATGAAATATTTTATTTAGATATCCATATTCATAACGAAAAGAACATTTATAGAATATTTCTTAACATATTCGTACAAAAGTACGTAGCATATTCCATGGAACTTTGTACAAAATATTATGTATGTTCATAAAACATTTATAATTATACCATTTAAATACACCATGAATATACCACTGATATTTGACAGTGCTTTTAATATACATTCGTAGGATATTCTTAGAATATTTATAGAACATTCACAGAATATTTGTGTGCTATCTGAATTACAAAAACTGCTTTTTCTGCTGAACGCAGCCAATGATGGTCTGGGATCTTCTTGTCTGTATATACTTAACTTTGTTTCGCTTTTAGAAAACGAGAAGCGGATTTCTCCAGCAAGCTTTGCTCGGTTAGCAGACAGGAATACGCAGAGATCGCGAGCGGATCCACCGCCACGTTCGTCGACAATTGCTGACGATCCGTTCCGCGGCGGGAAATCGCATTTTGGGCGCGTCATATATAATTACAAAACACAGCTGCTACCATCCAGAGGCGATTCTCGAAAGTCGGACAACGATGATGATGATGACGATAATGAAACGAAACGAGAGAATCGCGGTCCCTCGTAATCCTCATAATTTCTTTCGCCGGTAATGAAAGAGGCGGTTTTACTTGTGCTCTCTCTCTATTTATCGCGATCTGCCGCTTTCTTCAAATGCCGCCCAACGGCACGAGCTACCAATTAACACTTCTATGGACGAGACGATCTGACGCAACTCGCTGCTCTACACATCTATAACAGAGTTCCTAGAGATCCGTCCCGTCGGCGAAGATTAGATCCTAATAACGCGATTGAAACGCGACCGATTGCGAAAGCAGTTCGTAGAAAGAGAAATTCTTAGCAAATAGACGTCTAAAGTACGAAATCAAACGAGCCGCGAGCGTGCTTCCGATAGAAAAGTCTTAACTTCTCGCTATGCTTTTTTTCTTTTTGGTAACGATTTCTTCAGTATTAGTATTGATCAATTTACTATGTACATGTTGTATATAACAGTAGACGTAACGCATTAAAATTAATTTCTTATGGATGTGATTATCGCTAGAGAGTCTTAAGTGATCACTAATGTAAGGCTCCTATTAAGCCAATCTATGTATTATACATTGAGACACTTATTCTTTTTTTATACGATGATATGATTATCGTATTGTCTCTCGCAATACAAATATAACGATAGGGGTTGTGATATTCTCTTGCTTAAGAACTATAAAAAAAAAGATGTGCAAAATGCGATGACTCAAAGACGACAAACTATACTGCTATTTGCTCATAATCTTTATAAATAAAATGTACAAAACATGTAATGAAAAGGCAATTCTTGTTAATGACAGGAATATTCCGAGCTATTTTTTTATATCTGTATAGATTGTTGCATTGTAAAATAAAGTTTATTAGTTATAAGTATGGATACTATTGCACAAAAATAAAATGGGGATATTTTTATAAAATATATGTGAAATTTGTGTATGTCGTGGAAGTTTATGTAAAATGTGTTATATTTGTTCTTGGAGATCTCGGGGGAAGAAACACACCTGCGACTACAGCTTGCTAATTCTTTCGCAGTGTTTACTCCTCGATAAAACGCTTTACACGTTAATCCGTCGCTTATACAAAAAGATTATCGCGGAGCGTAGCTATACACGGTAACACATGATTCTTCTTTTATCTTACACGAGATTCAACAATGATTGAGTAAAAAAGCCGTCCACGTTTGTTCGACGCGGTAACAAGGGATTGGTAAAATATATAATATGATATAATATAGCGATATACATAATATAATCTAATATAATCTCTAAAATCTGTCATATAACATAGAATCTGTATATAAATAATAAATAGGAAATAAGGGAGCAGGTTTGATCGATTAGCTTGGTAGACTTTAGCACTAAATTACCGTTATGAAGAACATTTATGTAGGGGGACTATGGGGGAAAACTGGTGACTGGACAAACAAGAAGAGTGTGTGAAGATAAATTGAGAACAGTGAAAGAGAGAGAAAGAGATAACTAACAATAGACGTGACTATACAGCTGATTCATTTGGCATAATAGTCTAGAGCGGACTTTTTTCTAGCGCGATAGGATACGGTCAGTGGAGATCATCGACCCAAGCGGTGTCTAATGACTCGATGAGAGTACGGACGAAGGCCATCTCCTTCCGTGCATTCTCTAAAATTACCCGAGGATCTTGGGACGTACACCGCAATACATTCGGCGCCATCACCATCGCAAGATTATTGGCGTCCATTTTAGTACGGGCGACCACCTCGGGTCTAGCGAATATCTGTAAAGTTGTTTCAGTATCGTAGCAAATATTCTCCAAAGACGTTCAATTCAATTTGATTCAATGGTGTTGAATGCATGCTGCTCTTTAGTCTTCATACTCTCACCGTGCGTATAGCATTAAACGTTACTATGTATGTAGGTTTATACTTCGTTTAAAGAAGCGTGATATTTTGTTCGATAGAAACACAAATTTAGAATCACACGGCACACAATTGCACATCGCTAAGCGCACGATGAAAATAACAGACAAATTTTCAGTCAACTTTCTCTTATCGAGATATGTATAAAATATGTATGGCCTCTTACCTGTAGGAAGCGTATTAGATGACACAGCACACGACGGTTAAGATCCGGTAAACGTTCGACGAGCGCAGCCACATTTGCCGCAGATGCTTCCGGATCGTCATGCCGCATGGACACGCATTCTATGTAAAAAGAATCCGGTATCAACGGCTCGTACAACTCGCGCACCCATAATTTCAATAAGGAGGCGGGTGCATGAGCGTCCTGTGAAGCTGCCAGAATCGCCCCATCCTCAAACCTGTCCAGGCAGGATTTCAACGCGCTGACTTCATCGGCGTCCGCGGACACCCGGAAGATACCCTCAGTTAGCGTGCCACCACGCACAAGCACTTGGCGCGTCAGCGTAGTCTGTATCCATGGTAACTCTCTAAGCGGGAAGCGGTCCCTTTGTAAAGCCATTACTTCCGAGAGTGTTGCGCCGAACATAGACGCGCGGAAGATTTGTATCTACGAGAAAAGCACAAATGACACGTCAGAATACTGTATTATAATGCAAAGTGGATTAATCTATATTTGGTAATTGATCTTTTAGTAATTGTTAAGTGCAATTTATTACCCTCGCTTGGTCGATATCTTCCATCGTGGCTTTGCGAGGCTGTCGTTTACCATGCGCGCCGATCCGCTGCAATCGTCTACAGGCTACGGTCGCGTAATGACTGACTTGCACGTGTATTGGCCACTTTGCGACCTCGGGAAACTGGAAGTTAGGATCGCGATGCCTATTCATGTAGCCCTCCAGGTAGGGCTCGAACGTAGCGCTAGGCGGCACGAAAGCCAGACACACAGCCATCAATTCCCATCCGCGTCGCAGGCTCTCCTTCCGCGGATTCTCCGTCGTCTGCCGGCAGATCTGAACGTACAACTCATCCCGCAGAGGCGGCTTCGTGAACGCGGTATTCACGATATCCATGGCGACGCCGTCCAATGTCATACCGACATTTGCTTTGCGATCTCCCATATATACTTGAACCAATCGAAATAAATTGCAAGCCTCCCTTTTGAGTAGTTTCTCACCGTCCACCATCGCGAGCATCGGTTGCGGAATCGGATCTTTCGACCAACTGAGAATGTCCCGTACGCTGAACTTCTTTCGAAACAGCAGTCTCAGTCCTTTCGGTCTGCCGCAATTCAAATTGAGATTGTCCTGTGCATATTTTTCGATGTCGCCACCGCCCGTACTGTCATCTCTCCGCGCTTCCTCCAGGTCAGTGTTATCGACATTCGTTATACCGATACTCGGAGTTGAACTTACGGTGGGTACAGAGACCTGTCTCGTGGTCACTACGCTATCTCTCGCTTCCGTCTGAGACACGATATTCGGCGGTGAAGGCGGTCGCGCTTGCGGCCTTGTCAGGGTATCGGCTGTGGTATAATAAGTCGCTAAGCCCGCGGTATCGTAATTGCCTAAATCTAAAAAACATACAAAATACGTTAATTACAACTGTTCAATAAAAACATTTTATGCTCTTCAAAATAATATCTCACCCGCATAATGATCCTCGAGGTATTCTTGACTGGAAGAATCGCCTTGATTGCTCGCTGCTTCATCGTCGGCGAATTGATCATCGGAGTCATCATCACCTCTTCCGCCAATACCTTCGCCTCTGCCACCTTCCTCATCTAAAGAATCTTCTCCTTCTTCTACTAATAAAGGATCTCCAAACTTGTAACAACCTATTGTGAATAAAAGAAGAAAAATAATAAAACATATTCCATACGCACAAAATTACAATATCATAAAAATTTTTGGTTTATTACCTGATAATTTCGCTTGTTGAAGAATATAATGTTGTAACGGTAACAGATGATCAGCATCAGCCAGGTTACCATAAAACGGCGATGGCGGGGGACTGGGATTTCCATTACTTCTTTTCTTCTTGCTGTCATCTCCTTCGGCGTGACCCTCAGTTTCTTCACCCGCGGCACTATTGCTGCTGCTGTTGCTGCTGTTACTACTGCTAGTGTTACTACTGAGTCTCTGTCTAGATTGTTCGTGGGTTTGACTTATCATCAAGTAACGTTCGTGCATAGCATCATCGTCTCGCTCTCTCCTCCTAGCTTGCTGCTGTTGTTGCTGCTGTTGCTGTAACTGTTGCTGCATCTTTTGCTGCTGCTTTTGCTGTTGCACAAAACTGTAACTACGACCCAACGGCTGCGGCACACCTTGTAAAATAATAATTACTCATGTATTGCAAAAAATACGTGCATATATATACAGGAAGGTGGCGAAAGAAATATAAAGATTATCTTGCTTACTATCCAATGAGTTATTGCACGCTGTGTTTCGCCTGTACTCCTTCTCCCTATCACGCTCCCGCTCTCTCTCCCGCTCTACTGCTTCAAGACCTCTTTGTTTTGAGGAATTACCACTATGTACGCCAGCGGATCTACCGAGACTCTTGGCAGGATCGTTTCTCTCAGATAGCATTGCACCGTATACGTCCCTGACATTCGCTTCCGAAAGCGACGCGGAACATCCGTGATGTCTTCTACCTATGCTACCTGTACCATCCTGCGGTTGCTTATTCATGTTTCTCGAATGCATGGAACTCGGATAAAAGCCTGGCGGGTTCGTCTTGTCAAGACTATTGACTCGTTCCCGATGATGCTGCTGCATTTCCCGTTCCCTATCCCTATGATAACGATTGCCACTCTCCATTAAGGAACCATACTTCTCGCTCTGTGATTTGTAACTATGGCTAAGTTGAACTTCAGGCGGACGATATGGTGGCATTTCCTGCCTGAAGACTCGGGATTCCATCAGAGAATCGCGATATGGCGATGTACTCGGCTCGGGACCATACGAGCCTCTACTACTTTCTCTACCTAAAATATCGAAAAATCAATCGATACAAAGAAAGATGTGCGTACGCGCGTGTGCGTTTGTGTGGCTTGCATACAACAAATAATTATAGTAAAAATATAAAACATAAATATATTATACATCCTTACCATTTTTACTTTTGTCTAGGTCCAAGTTTCCAGCCCTACCTTCGCGTTGTGGATCAGTGAAAGTCTTCTTCTTAAACAGGGGTGTGCTGGTCGAAAGCGACAGACCCAGTGGCGGTGGTTCTCCCACTAATGATACAGATTTCTGATTTTTCACGCTTTCGAGAGTCCCGCTCTTGTGGCATCTAGTCTCCAGAGTGCCGCTACTGTGCTGCCTAGGGGAGGATTGTGCAGTATTCACCGGCGTTTGCGCGGCCGAACGATGATGATGCCTGTGCGGCGAATCCAACAAACGATAACCGGTCGACTCCAAGGAAGTCCTACTATGCGAGACGGAACTGTCGCTGGATCTACCAGAATCCTGTGAATGATTGTGTTGTCTGTTACGTGTCGTAGGTACATCATGGTGCCTGTGATGCCTGTTATTGTGATGATGATGGTGGTGATGATGTCGCCTCGCGGACGGAGACGGAGAAGGAGGAGAAGTCTGAAGATCGACGCCAACCGTAGAAGTCCGCGTTTTATTCGCACTACCGAGAGAAAGAGCTTGCTACGAGAAAATACGTAGCCATGTAAAATCTCAAAATATATATATCGTCCAAATCCTTGTGAGAAAATTAAATTTACCAATGTCGGAGTTAGATTCGTATTTTCCTGGTGGTTGAATCGTGTCGAAC